TGTGATTTATCCATGATCACAGAGCATGGCAATTATCCTGTGATAATTTCTATTACATTACACTCTTTCCCTTGTTCATAAGTTAAACTTTTGTGTTCTCTTAATATTCACTACTTAGAATACATCACCTCTTTATCACACAAAGGCAAGAAAGGAAGAGTAAATAGATTTTTCCTATATCAGAAGTTTTGAATTCATTAATTGTATTTTTTTTCACTACCACTTGAAACATCATTTTTCAGTTGATCCTGACCATTTAGTATTTTATACTAAGTAGTACTTTCTTCTGAAGTTTGTACACAAGGAAAATTGAGTTTTGCATTCATTATTTTCTTATGTCTCCAAGAAAAGGCAATTTAACAAAAGAAAAAAAATGTGAAAATTAGAGTTGTGGTAAAGGGTAAGATGACACTGAGCTAGAAAGCAGAAGACCAGCCCTGGTGTGAAATCTCCTGCAGCAGGCAAGTCACAGCTTTGTGAACCCTCTGCGCTCATGTGCAAACTGAGGAGCACAAGCTGGATCATCCTCTTAGATTCAGAGTTGTTAGAGGAGAAGGGGAAGCAGACACTAGACGCAGGCCACCCATGTGTTTCTTTTTCCTTTGTTTATAGTCTTAATTAAGATTAACCATTTAGTTTTGTCATCTGTTGTTCTGTGGTTGATTTTTCAGAACTAGCCTTATACATGTAATTTAAAAGCTCTGTGGCCAGCATTGTAGCTCAGGGGGTTAAGCTGCCACCTGCAACGTCATCATCCCATATCAGAGCACCAGTTTGAGTCCTGGTTACTGTGCTTCCAATCCTGGAAAAGTAGCAGAAGATGGCCCAAGTACTTGGGCCCCTGCAACCCATCTGGAAGGCCCAGATGGAGTTCCAGTCTCCTGGCTTGGGCTGGAGAGGCCATCGCGACCGTTTAGGGAATAAACCAGTAGATGAAGATCTGTTTCTCTCTTTCTCTCACTCTCTTCCTCTCTCTCTCTCACTCTCTCATTCTCTGACTCTCTGACTCTCTGTCATTCTTCCTTTCAAATAAATAAATCTTTTAACTTTTTAAAAAAATAGAAACCTCAGTGCCAGTGCTGTGGCGTAGCAGCAGGTAAAGCCACTGTCTACAGTGCCAACATTCCTTATGGGTGCCAATTCGAGTCCCAGCTGCTCTACTTCCAATCCAGCTCCCTGCTAATGGCCTGGGAAAGCAGCAGAAGATGGCCCAAATCATTGGGCCCCTGCACCCACATGGGAAACTCTGAAGAAGCTCCAGGATCCTGGCCTCGGATTGGTGCAGCTCCTACCCTTGTGACCATTTGGGGAGTGAACCAGCGGATGGGAAGACACCTCATCTCTCTGCCTCTGCCCCCGCCTCTCTGTAACTCTGCCTCTCAAATAAATAAATATTTTTAAAAAATTTTAAAACTTCAATGTAATTGAAGCCTTCTAAATAAACTATTAGATATTCATATGTATGTGGACAAAAAAACTTGAATGAATGATAATTGAAGATTATCAGCTTTAAGATTAAGGTTGGGGGCCGGCGCCGTGGCTCAATAGGCTAATCCTCCACCTTGCGGCGCCGGCACACCAGGTTCTAGTCCCGGTCGGGGCGCCGGATTCTGTCCCGGTTGCCCCTCTTCCAGGCCAGCTCTCTGCTATGGCCAGGGAGTGCAGTGGAGGATGGCCCAAGTGCTTGGGCCCTGCACCCCATGGGAGACCAGGAAAAGCACCTGGATCCTGGCTCCTGCCATCGGATCAGCGCGGTGCGCCGGCTGCAGCGGCAGCCATTGGAGGGTGAACCAACGGCAAAGGAAGACCTTTCTCTCTCTGTCTCTCTCTCTCACTGTCCACTCTGCCTGTAAAAAAAAAAAAAGATTAAGGTTGGGATACTAATAATATATAAAACCAACCAAAGCCCAAAGAAAGCTATTATTTTTTTCACAGATGAAGAAGATGATATTGGTGTTAGTGGATAGCAGCTAGTTGCTTACTTTCTGCTTATGCTCACTGGTATTGGTTCTTAATCCTGAGAGTCACATGATTCTATCTTGCCTTTTTTTTAGTGATCATAACTAGCAGTGTACAAGCCAGTCTCTTCTTTTTCAAGTTAGGTTAATTGAGTTACAGGCATTTAAAAATATATATTTATTTTATTTATATGAAAGGTACTAAGAGGGAGGGAGGGACAATGAGAAAAAGATCTATCTGTAGGTTCACGCCCAAAATGGCTGAAATGAGTAGGGCTGGGATAGGTTGAAGCCAGGATCCTGGAACTCCATCCAGGTCTCCCATGTGGGTGGCAGGGACCCAAAGACTTGGGCCATCTTCCACTGCTTTCCCAGGTGCATTAGCAGGGAGCTAGATTAGAAGTGGAGCAGCCAGGACTCTATAACCAGTGCTCATATGGGATGCCAGCACTGCAGACAGTGGCTTGACTCACTGTACCACAATGCTGGCTCCAGTCATTGTTGAATATGTATGTGGAAACCTAGGCCCTGCTCTTTCCAACTGATTAACTTCTAGAGGATATAAACAGTACTCCCATGAGGTCATTCTGTGATTTCTAGAGGATATAAACAACACTCACACAAGGTCACTCTGCAACTGGTGGAATAATAAAAGCAACACAAATACTCCAAAATTATGTCTAAAACTAAATAAATACAAGAGCACTATAACCACTTGTGAGCCCTTGCAGGCATAAATGCTTCTTTACCAAAGACAACTCTTCTTTCACATCTTGGATGGAAAGTAACAAGATAACCATTAATCACTTGTTCACACTTCTTGACACCACTCAATCCAAAACTGGCTTCCACATCAACCTTCTTGAGAATCACACTGGGAGTTTTCAGCTAGTTGGTTTTGACAAGTGATTGTTTTCTTGTTTTCCATTTTACTGTCTTTCTATAATCTCTACTTTTCTTTTGCCCTGTGCTTCTTTTTCCATACTTTGAGACGCCTTGCCTTTCCAGATGTCATAAACACTATATTCTTTGAGCTTTCTTTTTACTGCTTTCTGTGATTTTGTTTTTTAAATTTTGAGAAACAGAAAGAGACAGATAGGAAGAGATCTCCTATCCACTGGTTAACTCCCCCAAATGCCCACACAGTCCAGACTGAGCCAAGTCAAAGCAGAGAACTCACTTTAGATCTCTTACAAGGGAGACCCTGCCACCACCTCTTGGAGTATACATTAAAGGAAGCCAGATGCAGGAGCAGGCTAGGACATGAATTCAGGCATGTGGGATGCAGGCTTACAAATATGTGACTTATCTACTAGACCAAATGCCCACCTCATGCATGATTTTTATTACTCTTTTTTAATTATTTGAAAGGCAGAGTTACAGAGAGGGAGAGTTGCAGAGACAGAGAGATGTCTTCCACCTGCTAGTTCATTCCCCAAATGGCTCCAACAGCCAGGGTTGGGGCAGACTAAAGCCAAGAGCCAGAAACATCATCCGGGTTTCCCACGTGAAAGCAAGGACCCAAATACTTGGGCCATCTTCCTGTGCTTTCCCAATGCATTAGCAGGGAGCTAAATGGGAAATGGAGCAGCCGGGATTCAAATCGCCACCCATATGGGATGCCAGTGCCACAGGCTGCAGCTTAACCCACATGCCACAGTGCTGGCCCCTGTTAAATTATTCTTGTCAGTATGCTTCTTGATTATTCACTCTTCTGATGTACTTAAGAATGGAAAAGATTTCTTTTTTTTTTTTTAAGATTGATTTATTTATTTGAAAGTCATAGTTAAACAGAGAGGAGAGGCAGAGAGAGAGAGGTCTTCCATCCAAAGGTTCACTCCCCAGATGTCTGCAACGGCCAGAGCTGCGCCAATCTGAAGCCAGGAGCTTCTTCTGAGACTCCCACGCAGGTGCAGGGGCCAAGGACTCGGGCCATCTTCCACTGCTTTTTCAGGCCATAGCAGAGAGCTGGATTGGAAGTGGGGCAGCCGGGACTAGAACCGGCACCCATATGGGATGTCAGCGCTTCAGGCCAGGGTGTTAACCTGCTGCGCCACAGCGCCAGCCCCTGGGAAAGATCTCTTGCTGTTACAATAGACCACCTTGATCTGGAAGAATACCTCAGATAATATAAGAAGGTCCATCAAATAGTTTTTCCTTTACATCTTACTTGGCATATGCTACCTATATTGACTTGCTGTTTAAATTGATTCTGACTCCTTAAGCTTCATTAGAATATCCCTTTCCCAGAAACACTTTCATATCCTCAGTAAAAGTCAGAATTAAATGACATTTAAGGTGTGCTGCAAACTATCTTTCTGAATCTAGCATCTTCCTTGATGTAAGAGACTTAACAGTTGGGTAGATTTCATTGGCTTTTTAATCTGTAATTTCAATGGTTTGATTTATAAGACTTAATATTTTTTTAACTTGAGAGGCAGAAAAATAGAGACTGATAGACAAAACACAGTTCCCATCTGCTGGTTCACTCCCCAAATGCCCACAGTGGCCAAGGCTGGGTTGGGCCAAAGCCAGGAGCCAGGAACCCAGTGCAGGTCTCCCGTATGGGTGGCAGGGATTCAGCTACTTACGTTTCCCCATGCTGCCTCCCAGGGTATGCATTAGCAGGAAGCTGGAATTGGAAGTGGAGTCAGGACTTGAATCCAGTCACTCTGGAACAGTATGCCAGTGTCCCAGCTGGTATCTTCACAGGCCAAATGCCCTCCCTGATTTATAAGATTTTAACCATTCAGAAGTGATTTACATGTAAAGGCTTTATTTTAAATTCTGGATTCATTAGTAAAAATCTCCCAAAAAGGCTACCTTATCAGATGAAACTTAATCACAAAACAGTTTTCTTCCCTCTTTACCATGATTCCTGAAATACAGAATCTAAATTGGAAATATTACTATTTCCTCAAATACTTGTGTTTTTAACAATGTGATGAACTCCCTATGTATGTCTAACATTTCAGTGTCAGATGACTTCCTAGGAAGCTGTAGTATTCTCACTCATTTATGTATTTTTCTTTTTATTTTCAGTGAAAACTCAAATGCAGCAAGGATTAATCTCTATAGCAGCCCGCACTGTTATTACGCATCTGGTGAATCACTTGGGCCATTATCCAATGAGTGGTGGTCCTGCTATGTTAACAAGTCAGGTGTGTGAAAATCATGACAATCATTACAGTGAAAGTACTGAACTGTCTCCGGAACTTTTTGAGAGTCCAAACATCCAGTTCTTTGTATTGAACAATACAACTTTAGTATCCTGTATCCAGATCAGATCAGAAGAGAGTATGCCTGGAGGGGGTTTATCTGCTGGCCTCGCATCTGCCAACTCAAATGTCAGAATCATAGTACGTGATCTCTCTGGAAAATATTCATGGGATTCCGCTATCCTGTATGGCCCGCCTCCTGTAAGTGGCTTGTCAGAACCTACATCTTTTATACTTTCATTGTCTCACCAAGAGAAGCCTGAAGAGCCTTCTGCATCTAATGAATGCTTAGAAGACGTAACAGTAAAAGATGAACTTTCTGTCCAGTTTAAACGATTTAGAGAAACTGTCCCAACTTGGGATACAATAAGAGATGAAGAAGATGTTCTTGATGAGCTTTTGCAGTATTTAGGTGTTACTAGTCCTGAATGCTTACAGAGAACTGGGATCTCACTTAATATTCCTGCTCCACAACCTGTGTGCATTTCTGAAAAACAGGAAAATGATGTAATTAATGCCATCCTTAAGCAACATACAGAGGAAAAAGAATTTGTTGAGAAGCACTTTAATGACTTAAACATGAAAGCCATGGAACAAGATGAACCAATACCTCAAAAACCTCAGTCAGCATTTTATTACTGCCGATTGCTTCTTAGTATATTGGGAATGAATTCCTGGGACAAACGGTAAGAACAAAGGAGAGATTTTTATTTTTTTAAAGAAAAGTTTGTCTTACTCATCTAATGAAGAATTATCTATCCGTTCTTATTTGCACTAACTTTTAATCTACCGATTAATTCCTTGACCAGTAGGCACATTGTTTTGAGACCACTAGTACCAGGAATTAACAGTAATAAAAGATAATGTAATCCATGAAATTATTAACATTTTCAAAATGAATATTGGAAGTGTTTGATTTAGAAATTGTACTCATATGACTGGAAAAAAATTTATTTTTCCAACCTTCATACCAACCTAACAGTCTATTTTTAGAAGAAGCACAATATACTTATTTCTGATTTGAATAAGGCAAGTTAACTCAATTCAGGAGCAAGTCAAGAAAGGAATCTGGATTTTTTTTCACTTTTTTTTATGATGCATATTACAATACCTTATTAAAAACTTAAGATAAACACATGAAGTATTCAAATAAATTAGGTAGGAGTTAAATGAAAAGAATATTATAGTTAGAAAACCTAGGAATCACTTTGAGTCACTTAACCCTTGAGCATCATGCTGTAGTCAGTCTACAAATTGAGAATAATTCCACCTCACATAGCCATGAGAATTAAGTAATGTACATAAAAGACAATATTGGATTCTAATGTACACCATTGTTCGTATATGAGTAAATTTAGTTTTTAATTGCTGTGTTATGAAAAGCTGTACAAAAATGGAAGCAGAATTATTAATAAAATATATGGTAGCACGGGAAGCTCAGATGCCACTAGACAAATTCTAAAATAATTCAAATGCATGTGAAGCATTGAAATGGAGTTCTGCTGACTTGCTTAGTGTTTATATTTATACTTGATTTAAACCCTTCCCTTTATTAGAAAGGAATATCTTGGCTGGCACTGTGGCTCACTTGGCTAATCCTTTGCCTGCGGCGCCGGCACCCCGGGTTCTAGTCCCTAGTCCCGGTTGGGGCACTGGGTACTAGTCCCGGTTGCTCCTCTTCTAGTCCAGCTCTCTGCTGTGGCCTGGGAAGGCAGTGGAGGATGGCCCAAGTGCTTGGGTCTCTGCACCCGCATGGGAGACCAGGAGGAAGCACCTGGCTCCTGGCTTCGGATCGGCGCAGCACCGGCCATAGCGGCCATTAGGGGAATGAACCAACGGAAGGAAGACCTTTCTTTCTGTCTCTCTCTTACTGTCTCTAACTCTCTCTGTCTCTCTCTCACACTGTCTAACTCTACCTGGCAAAAAAAAAAGGGGGGGGGGAATATCCTCTATTTTATGGGAAAGTCAGGAATACAGTTCGCCTTACGGTATGTCCAACTACAGGTAAATGCCAGTCAACTATAGGATAAATGTGTTCTACTCTTTATCTGTGATATGGTTGTAATGTGTTGTCTCTTGAGAAAAATATTAAAGCATTGATTTCATCAATGTAGCTTATATATTTCTAGCACCCATAAAAGATATTTGATAAATTTAGATACTGCTTCAAAATATAAATGTACATGTAGTATAAAATAAGGATGAAAACAAATTCCATCTTAATTGCACCTGCTTAGTTGTGATGATTTAGATTTCGTAAATAGTTTATTTCTCATGTGGTACAACTTTATCACATATTTTTCTGAAACTCTTAAGGAGGAACTTACAAGTGCTTTTATCCATTTCTCTGGACTAAGTTTGGGAAGCTCACATCTGCAGGGAGGATCAAAGAGGCCAGCAGATGTGCTCTGCTAGCTGAAGTACACAGGGCCTGGTAGAAATAATGACATACATTCTCTACATTTTTTTAGGGTCTGTTTTCCTTTGTTAAAAATATGAAAAGGCAAGAAAAGTTTAAAAGTTGCATGAGTAGAGTGGAGAGTTTTACCAGGACTGTCATGTCATTCACTGCGAAGGGGATGACAATGTTTATAAATCTCTCTATTTAGGAGGAGTTTTCATCTCCTGAAGAAAAATGAAAAGCTACTTAGAGAACTTAGAAACCTGGATTCAAGGCAGTGGTAAGTTGTCGGAAAACCCTCATATCTGTAACTAGCAGCTCTTCGCTGTTTCTTTCTTTTGAATAATATGAAAAATAATGCATTGTTGATTTATAACTTTCTGAGCAGAAACTAAGAAATCTTTGGAATAAGAAATTAAAGAAAAAGTTAAGATTGCATTAAGAGGTTTGGTATCTTTGAATTGTTTACACTTTTTTCATGAATTTCATAATCATCTTCTAGACCACAAAAAAATAACTGAACCTGTAAAATATCCTTTGTTTTTCCCACACATATACAAACAATAGTTGCAGCTCTGATTAAATCTAGTGATTCTGGCGCATTAGGTAGCCACTTTGAAACAAACCTTCCACTGTCACATCGTTGTTCTGCAGGAATGCGAAGTGGATGAGATGATGTTGGCCTGTCCCACCTTAACTGCCTCTGGATCTTCCCTTCTTTAAATTTCTGTCCCTCTCTCTCACTAGCACTCTGCCTTTCAAAATAAGTAAAAAGTAAATAAATCTTTTTAAATATTAAAGGAAAATTTCTGTGTTCAGCCATCTTATCTTGCTTACCTTCATTTCAGAAAAGTTGTTTTTTTTCCCCTGTATATCCTTGTGCTTTCTACCTCATCTAGCGGCATTAAGATATTCTTCAAAAAGTTATTCTCTTTATCTTGTTTTTCTGCTTAAGTCCTCTTACCATACACATGTTTGTTGTCTACATTAAAACACAACAGAAAAATAATTTGCCTCAGTCACTATCTTTCAAGCTTTTCCTCTCTCATGCCTCTTTTTTTATTTATTTATTTATTTATTTATTTTTGGACAGGCAGAGTGGACAGTGAGAGAGACAGAGAGAAAGGTCTTCCTTTGCCGTTGATTCACCCTCCAATGGCCGCCGCGGCCGGCGCGCTGCGGCCAGCGCACTGCGCTAATCCAATGGCAGGAGCCAGGTACTTATCCTGGTCTCCCATGCGGTGCAGGGCCCAAGGACTTGGGCCATCCTCCACTGCACTCCCTGGCCACAGCAGAGAGCTGGCCTGGAAGAGGGGCAACCGGGACAGAATCCGGCGCCCCGACCAGGACTAGAACCTGGTGTGCCGGCGCCGCAAGGCAGAGGATTAGCCTAGTGAGCCACGGCGGCGGCCTCTCATGCCTCTTAAGATCAAATTTATGGACAAATAAAATCTTTATTCACCTCCTGTAGTTCCTAACTGGTTTTTATTTTGATGCTTTTTAGCTTCCTTTGAAATGACCTTTTCAAAATTACTTGTTTTTGCTTATTACAAAAAACCTAAAACAGAAAATAATCCATATATTTTGTAACATTATTGCTAACGTATTTATTTTCAGTCTCTCCTTTTTAATGGACATATTTTTTACAAAACTGGACTCAACGAATTTTTTTTTGCTTTATTCTGTATTGTAAACATATTCCTCATTTAGATATTTTTCAAAAATAACCTTTCAGGTTGCCACATTCTGTGATTATTGGACATTTACATTGTTTTTCTTTTTTTTTTTTTCCTAAAGATTTTATTTATTTATTTGAGATGTAGAGTCACAGACAATGAGAGGAAGAGACAGAGAGAAAGGTCTTCCTTCCGCTGGTTCACTCCCCAAATTGCCACAATGGCCAGAGCTGTGTCTGTCTGAAGCCAGGAGCTTCTTCCCTGTCTCCCACATGGGTGCAGGGGCCCAAGCACCTGGGCAATCTTCCACTGCTTTCCCAGGCCATAGCAGAAAGCTAGACTGGAAGAAGGGCAGCCGGGACTAGAACTGGCACCCATGTGGGATGCCAGCGCCACAGGTGGAGAATTAACCTACTGTGCCATGATGCCAACCACTACATTGTTTTTTATTTCTTAGCCTTGGATAGATTCCTAGCTATAGAATTATTGAGCCAAAACATAAAGTATTTTTGGGCCATATATTTTACAAAATAACTACTTTAAGTGATAATTTATAATTCCACTAACATTGTGTAAGAACCCTATATAACTTCAGCCTGGCCAGCAGAAGATATTAATCACATTTTTCTTAATCTTAAAAAAAATTGACTAATTTTAATTATTTGTGGGCTACAGTGTGAAATTTCAATATATGAATACAGTATGTACTGATCAAGACTGGAAAATCAGCATTTCCCCTTCTTTGACCTTACTTTATGATTGGAGGCTTGGAGCTTTGTTCATAGGATGTTTACTTGGTTATTGTGAACAATCTCCTCACTATGCTGTGTAACACTAGAAATTTAGTTCCTCAATAAAACTGATTCAGTACTCATTATTAATACTACTTCTAGTCCTCTTAGTCTCTAGCAGTCACATTCTTTGTTCACATTGAGTGTTTTTTTTTAAGCTTCCACATAGGAGGGAGAACATTCAGTATTTGTCTTTTTTTTAAGTTTTTACTTAATGAATGCATTTTTTCATAGGTACAACTTTAGGAATATAGTGTAGTATCTGTCTTATTGACAGAATTTAATCCTATTTATGGCAGAATAATATTCCACTGTGTGTATACACCACATTTTCTTTATCCATTCATCTGATGATGGACACCTTGACTGTAATTCTTGCATTGTGTTTTCATAATACACATTTTCCTTGAACATTTTGAAGTATCCTTATATTTGCGAGAGTTTCCCTGATTAGTTGTTTATCTTTTGGTTTTAAATACCTTCAGATTATATAAAAATAGTCATTTCCCTTTTTTTTCTTTGCATTTTCTTGTTTGTTGTGCTTACGGAGTTCTGTCTTGAAATCAGTTTATTTTTTAAAAAAAAAAGATTTATTTATTTATTTATTTGAAAGCGTTACACAGAGAGAGGAGAGGCAGAGAGAGAGAGGTCCTCCATCTGATGGTTCACTCCCCAATTGGCCTCCATGATCAGAGCTGCGCCGATCTGAAGCCAGGGTCCAGGAGCCTCTTCTGGGTCTCCCACGCGGGTACAGTGGCCCAAGGACTCAGGCCATCTTCCACTGCTTTCCCAGCCATAGCAGGGAGCTGGATGGGAAGTAGAGCAGCCAGGTCTCGAACCGGTGCCCATATGGGATGCCGGTGCTCCAGGCCAGGGCATTAACCCGCTGTACCACAACGCCAGCCCCTTGAAATCAGTTTAACGCTGTATTGTGTTTCCTTCTAGATGTTTATTTGGTTGAGGAGATAATTTATTCCTTTATGCCTTCTGGGATACATTTTGAGTTTTGGAATGAGTATCAGAACTAGTTGAATGTTGGAAAATAGTCTGATTTGTTGAATATTCCATACCTCTCCCGTTGATTTGGTGTTTCTCTTATCAAATATTAATCTGTCTGCTTCAAACTATTTCTGTTGATGGGTCTATCCTTTTGTGAAATGTTACCTTGTTTAATTTATTATACCTTTATATTTTAATATCTGATAGGTCCAGTCTTCTTCCTTATCCCACTCTGGCATATATACATGAGTTTGTTTTTTTTTTTTTCTTCAACAGTGTCACCTGTTTATTCTTCCCAAGTACATATTAGAGTTATGCTGTTGTTTTCCAGAGGGGGAAAAAGCCTCACAAATATTTTAATTGGATTTTCAATAAAAATCTCATATTGGGGGCTGACGTTGTGCCATAGCTGGTTAAACTGCCACCTCTGACACCAGCATTCCATATGAGTGCCGGGTCGTGTCCTAGCTGCTCCACTTTGGATACAGCTCCCTGCTAATGGCCTTGGAAAGCTAATGGGAAGGCAGCCCAAGTCCTTGGGCCCCTACACCCACATGAGAGACACAGATGAAGCTCCTGGCTCCTGGCTTTGGCCTGGCCCAGCCCTAGCCATTGTGGCCATTTGGGGAATCAACCAGTGGATGGAAGCTTGCTTACTCTCTCCCCCTCTCCCTCTCTCCTCACTCTCTTCTCTCTTCTCTCTCTGTAACTCTGCCTTCCAAATAAATAAACAATTTAAAAAAAAAAAGTCATATGGGGAACCAGTACTGTGGCAAAGAACTCTGCCTGCAATGCCAGCATCCCATATGGATGTGGGTTCAAGTCCTGGCTATTATACTTCGCATCCAGCTCTCTACTAACGTACCCAGGAAAGCAACAGAAGATCTGTCTCCTCCTTTCTCTGTATCTCTGCTTTCAAATAAATAAATAAATAAACAAATCTTTAATATAAAACAAAAATTTCATATGGGGGGAATAGGCACTGTTAAAATTATCATTTTCTCCATTCTTGATCATGGTATGTTTTTCATCTATTCTGAGAAACAGATATTACCTGTATGAATGTTCCTAGGTGTTTTATTACTTTTTTTCTATTCTAAATGAGATTTTACCCCCTCTATATCTCCTGTGCTTTTCTATTTTAGTATTTATCTTATATCCAAACACTTTGTTGAATTCTTACTTATTTTAAACATTATATAATTATCTCATGGTTTGTTTAGGTCCATAATCATTATCTGCAGATAATCTCCTTTTCAGTAATTATGCCTATTTTTGCTATTTTTCTATATTTTGCTTCTGTTGAGTCTTTTGCACTGGCTAGCACCAGCAACATGGTGGTAAATATAGTATAGTAACAGTGAGAATCCTTGTCTTGCCTGATTTTATTGGAAATAGCTCTTCTGTTTCATTATGGAGGATACTATTTGTTGGTTTAAAACAGCAGTTTTTATCATGCCAAAGAAGTAGCCTGTCTTCTGAAAGTCTTGAGAGCTTGTTTGGAGGTTCTAGCAGGGGAGCGCAGCTACTCGTATAAACTTGACCAAAGACCGGTCCTCCTCTAGTGTGGAAGGTCGTCCTCTTCGACCGAGCGCGCAGCTTCGGGAGGGACGCACATGGAGCGGTGAGGGAGGAAGGGGACACCCGCCTAGCCAGCCAGATCAGCCGAATCAACCCTGGTGATCAATGGGGTGACAGATGTCGCAGCCAGATCGCCCTCACATCCATTCTGAAAGTCTTTATAAGCAAAACATGTTAAATGTTAGCAAAATTCTTTTCAGCATATATTAAGTTTTCATATAGTATGATTTCTTAACTAAATAGTATTTTAATAAGATCACTAGATTACTAATACTAGATAATTTTTCTGTATATAAGTCTTGTTTTTTCTTTTTACTTCTCACTGTGTTAGATTTATTAGAAATTAATTTTTTTAGAATCACTAGATTATAATTAATATTTAATTAAAGACACTACTTTTCAAAACTTCAAAATATTCTTATACTTTCTAGTCAGTTATAGCAAAACTTGATCTTTGGGATTGAGGCCAGTAGTTTCTTTTTTTTAACTTTTATTTAATAAATATAAATTTCCAAAGTACAACTTTTGGATTACAGTGGCTTTTTCCCCCCATAACCTCCTTCCCACCCGCAACCATCCCATCTCCTGCTCCCTCTCCCATCCCATTCACATCAAGATTCATTTTCAATTATCTTTATATACAGAAGATCAATTTAGTATATACTAAATAAAGATTTCAACAGTTTGCACCCACACAGAAACACAAAGTATAAAGCACTGTTTGAGTACTAGTTATACTGTTAATTCACATAGTACAACACATTAAGGACAGAGCTCCTACATGGGGAGTAAGTGCACAGTGACTCCTGTTGTTGATTTAACAGTTGACACTCTTATTTATGGCATCAGTAATCACCCGAGGCTCTTGTCATGAGTTGCCAAGGCTATGGAAGCCTCTTGAGTTTGCCAACTCCGATCTTATTTAGACAAGGTCATAGTCAAAGTGGAAGTTCTCTCCTCCCTTCAGAGAAAGGTACCTCCTTCTTTGATGGCCCGTTCTTTCCACTGGGATCTCACTCACAGAGATCTTTCATTCATTTAGTTTTTTTTTTGTTTGTTTTTTTGTTTTTGTTTTTGTTTTGTTTTGTTTTGCCAGAGTGTCTTGGCTTTCCATGCCTGAAATGCTCTCATGGGCTTTTTTATTTAAAAAAATAAAAATTAAAAAAAAAAACTGTTCTTAGCAAGTTTTAGCAGGTTATCTTCAATACATGTTTCCTATTTGCTATAGGCCTTTGGGAAAATAAGAGACTTTAAATTAGAAACAAAAATAATTTTTAACAGTTACATTGCATTTCACTTGGGAGAGAGGCCACCTGGATCCTTAGTCTGTGGTTCTGAAAATCTCCCCCTACCCAAATTATGTTTTACTGTTTACAGTATATTATCCTAATGATATATCAGGTACTCTGAAATTTGCTTATGTATTTACCATATAAAGTAAAACATTGATTTCTGAAAGCTCCTAAAACATCTTCGTTGCTGACAATGAAATACATACTCATGATTTGGCAAGTTCCTTAAGCTGTGTGGGAGAATCTGGTTGTAAGGTTTAACTTTTAAAATTATTTCAATGTTTATTTCCTTATTATTGCTTGTGTTTTTTTTTTTTAATTTCTAAAACTTTACTTCCAGTAGTAGTTTGTTAACCTATGTTTTGTTAAACCCAGACCACGTGTAGTATTGTTTTAATTAGCTTTGAAACCAAATTTCTAAGAATTTGCTTTTATGAACACTTCTGAATTTATACAGAACTAAAAGTAAGTACTCAGTACTTGGCAGTTGCATCATGTACTTTTACACTTGTTTATATGTTTCATCTTCTGTATTTTAAGTACTTTGAAGGCATACATCATTTCTCTCTCATCTCCATCCCCTATTTTTATCTAAAACACAGACCCTTTAACTCTCGGATGCAGCCACATTGCACACCAGACAATCCTTCAGATGCTTCGTGTGTTCATACCTATGTGCCCTTTCCTAATACTCCTTGTTTGTATCTGTCACTTCGTTCTTACTTTCACATAACTCGGTGTTACCTTCTCCTTTAAGTTTCTCTGGTTTTCTGGTCAGAAGTCATCGTGCCATTCTTTTTTGTTGTTGTTCTTTTTTTGCATGCCTTTCTTTTAATTATGACAGTTTTGTCACTATAAGATCTTTTTCACATGCTTTTGCCACATACTTTGTTTATAGAACCTAATAGCAAATGAAGGCTGTAATCTTTTGTTTTACAGCAGAGAGACACACAAAATTGCAGTATTTTATGTTGCTGAAGGACAAGAAGACAAACACTCCATTCTTACCAATACAGGAGGAAGTCAAGCATATGAAGATTTTGTAGCTGGTCTTGGTTGGGAGGTATTGTTCTTAAATTATACCATATATTTTATTTGTATTTGGACGTGAGGGTTATTTATTTTTCTAGCTTATTTTAGAAGCTACAGCAGCTTAACAATGGGCTTATTACTCTCTGTGCCTTACAGCTCTGCAGATGGGGTCTTTGACGGGATAGGTGATGACTGTTTGATGAGACGATATATTGTCAGAGCATAGCACTCAGAAGTTTAGAAGCTGTAGATGTTCCTTACAGTTTGTGACCACTATACTGGGAGTCTTCAGACTTAAGACCTCACAGCTGCACAAAGGCTTTCCAGAGGCATCTTGTCAACATGCTTGGTTTTGAGGAAATGAGTTTCCAGATTCTCAAATTTACTAAAACAAATACCACAGCAACTATCTTCAGTCTCTTACCTCTACTGTTTTGTTCTACTTTGCAACCTACCACAAATCCTGTGTTGTCCCAGAGGGGTTTGGCACCAACAAAGAAACAGTTCAAGTGTGTGTTCCTAAGAGTCTCTAACAGCAAAGTAAGAAATATTGAAAGGTGTTTACTCTGTATCATCCTGGCAACCACCTCATGTCAAGCTTCTGTACCATAACTGTCTTAGAATTATAACTCAGAAGCTGGATATTTGCCACAGGAGTTTATATTATGTTTATTTGAAAAGAAAAATGAAATGTTAAACTTGTTCCAACAGAAAGTCAGTCTGATGTGGCTAATTGATTTGTCATTAATGATAGAAACTTTGTATTTATTGATTCAGACAAACATGTAGCTCTGAGAGTTTCATGAAAATATATTTATTTATTATTTAGATTTTTTTTTTTTGACAGGCAGAGGGGACAGTGAGAGAGAGAGACAGAGAGAAAGGTCTTCCTTTGCCCTTGGTTCACCCTCCAATGGCCACCGTGGCCGGCGCGCTGCTGCCTGCGCACCGCGCTGATCCGAAGGCAGGAGCCAGGTACTTATCCTGGTCTCCCATGGGGTGCAGGGCCCAAGGACTTGGGCCGTCCTCCACTGCACTCCCTGGCCACAGCAGAGAGCTGGCCTGGAAGAGGGGCAACCGGGACAGAATCCGGCACCCCGACCGGGACTAGAACCTGGTGTGCTGGAGCCGCAAGGCGGATGATTAGCCCAGTGAGCTGCGGCGCCAGCCTATTTAGATTTTTAAAAGTATTATTTGAAAAGCAGAGTTACGGGCAGGGGGAGAGAGAGATCTTCCATCCACTGGTTCACTCCCCAAATGCCCCAACAGCTGGGGCTGAGCCAGGCCAAAGCCAGGTCCCTGACATTCTCCCAGATCCCCTACATGGCTGCAGACGTCCAAGCATGTGTTCCATCTTCCACTGCTTTCCCAGGCATATTAGCAGGGAGCTGGATTGGAAGCGGTGCAGTTGGGTCTCTAACCACCACCCATATGGGTTGCCAATGTTGCAGGCTGCAGCTTAATCTGCCGTGCCACCCCAACCCCAGTGAAAATATAAAGCACATTTTTATATAACATACAACTCTGGAAATTATATCCTTTGCGACTATAGAAATTAAGCTGAATAGTAGAGATAAAATCGACTTAAAAATCATGAACAGAGCATCAGGGACCTATATGCCTGTAACAGAAGACTTAGCATTTTTGGATCTGAGTCCCTGAAAGGAGAAAGAGGCTGAATCTGAGAGGGTCAAAGACAATTTGAGGAATAATGGCTAGAAACTTCGCAAATGTGGAAAGAGACAAAGCTATAGATTGAAGAAGCTGAATGGAACCCCAACAGGACAAACCACAAGAAATCTACACTAAGACCTATCAAAAAATTTTATAGGTAACTTTAACATTTTTTCATTGATAACATGAACCTTGTACATATCTGTGGGTTTCCATATGATGTTTCCATAGCGTGAATACATTTTGTAATGTCCAGTTAGGGTATACTTAGCTAATTTGAACATTTATAGTTTCTTTGTTGTGAAAATATTCAAAATCCTTTGAGCTTTTGGAGTTTTTAAAGAAAAATAAATACTACATTATTGTTATCTCAAGTCACGCTACTGTGCAATAGAGCACCAGAATTTATTTCTATATAACTGTTTCTTGGTTCCTGTGACTCTCCCCATTACAAGTACCATTACACTCCTAACCACCATGAGATGGACTTTTTAAAATGCCACGTATAAGTGAGGTCATACAGGCATTTATTACTTGGCTTTCTATGATTGGTTTATTTCACTTCACGTAGACACATCATAATTTAATTTCTGGAAACTAAAAAAAATAAAATAAAATAAAAAAAAAAGAAATCTTGAAAGCCTCCAGAGAAAAAGTGTCCCTTCTCTGTAGAGGGAAAACAATTAGAATTGATAGCAGATTTATCTTTATAAGTGTGATGATGGGGTGGAAGGGCAGAAGAAGTGGCATAATATGTTTCAAGTGCTTAAAGAAAAGAGCTATCAACCTAAAATCCTATGGCCAGTGAAATTATCATTCAGGAATATACTTCAAAACATTCTCAGATGAAGGAAAACATAGAGAACTTGTTACCAGCAGACTTATCCTAAAAAGAACCACTGAAAGAAATGCTGTAGAAAGGAAATGATAACGCTGCCGGCGCTGCGGCTCACTAGGCTAATCCTCCGCCTAGCGGCGCCGGCACACCGGGTTCTAGTCCCGGTCGGGGCGCCGGATTCTGTCCCGGTTGCCCCTCTTCCAGGCCAGCTCTCTGCTGTGGCCAGGGAGTGCAGTGGAGGATGGCCCAAGTGCTTGGGCCCTGCACCCCACGGGAGACCAGGAGAAGTACCTGGCTCCTGCCTTCGGATCAGCGCGGTATGCTGGCCCTAGCGCTGCTGGCCGCAGCGGCCATTGGAGGGTGAACCAACGGCAAAGGAAGACCTTTCTCTCTGTCTCTCTCTCTCACTGTCCACTCTGCCTGTCAAAAAAAAAAAAAAAAAAGGAAATGATAAGAGAAGAAACTTAGAATCATCAGGAAGTGAGAGCATGGCAAGAAAAAATATGGGTAAATACACTAGACTTTCTTTCTCCTTTTGAGTTTTCTTAATTGTGCTTAACAATTGGAACAAAAATTATAGCACTATTTGATATGTTTCTAAATATATTAAAAGGAAATATTTGTGACAGTTATATTACAAATGGGAAAGATGAAGGTACATAACTAAGGTATCTATATTAGACCGTTTGCTATGACAAAACACCAGGGGCTGGGTAATGTCTACACAAAAGAGGTTTTATTTAGTTGACAGTTCTGTATCTGACTGTCCAAACAGCATGGGGTCAACTCATGTGAGGGCACCACCTACCTCCTGGCTGCACCATCTCATGGCAGCATCATGGCTAGATTGCATAAGAAATCATACCACAAGGCAAGAAGCCAGAGAGAGAGGAAAGGCTGGTAATGTCTTCAGACTGGGCCCAAAAAAGATCTTACCACCTGTTAACGGTATCACACTGAGAACCAAACTCCCTGCAGTTGAAGACATTCAAACCTTATCCATACCCAGCAGACCAGAGCTGGGCTTTATTATAAAACAAGCCTCAACTAATTTATTTAGTTATTTATTTGAGAGCAGAAAGACACACAGAGGTGGTTCTCATCTGCTGTTTCACTCTCTATGTGCCTACAACGGGCAGGGCTGGGCTGGGGCACAAGCAGTAAAACAGGAATGCAATCTCCTTCTCCTATATGGGTGGCAGGAACTCAATAACTTGCCATCACCACTGCCTTACAGGGTTAGAAGCTGAAGTCAGCAGCTGAAGCCAGGTATAGAACCCAGGTACTTCACTGTGGAATGGAAATGTCTTAACCACTAGTCTAAATGCCCATATCCACTCCCAACAAATTTAAAAGCATTATAATCCTATCATATGTTTTCCAGCCACAGTAGGATCAAAAATTGAAATCATTAACAAAAAAATAAGAAATCTCCAAATACTGGGAAAGGTTACACACTTTTTATTTCCACTTATATAACATGGAAATAGCAGTTATAGAAGTAGATAAGAGATGGTGACTGCCAGTAATTAAAGAGTAGGTGGGGTGAGAAGGAGAGTCTGATAATCTGTTTCTTAACCTTATCAGTGTCATTGTATTGATTGTGATACAGTTTGCTTGCAAGAATTCTAGTGAAGAGCACCTGGGATTTTAAAAATTATTTTATGTCTTCACGTGAATCTGTAATTATTTCCATATGTTTGAAAAGCAGATCAGCGAGTGTTACGAAAGTGTTAAGAACAGAGGGATACCAAATTGATATTTTATCCTTTAATCAGAAAATTGAGAGTTGACTTAAAAATAACTTTCTGCCAATGCCACGGCTCAATAGGCGAATCCTCCACCTAGCAGCACCGGCACACCGGGTTCTAGTCCCAGTCGGGGCGCCAGATTCTTTCCTAGTTGCCCCTCTTCCAGGCCAGCTCTCTGCTGTGGCCCGGGAAGGCAGTGGAGGATGGCCCAAGTGCTTGGGCCCTTCACCCCATGGGAGACCTGGAGTAGCACCTGGCTCCTGCCTTCGGATCTGCGTGGTGCGCCAGCTGCGGTGCGCCGGCCCCAGCGCGCTAGCCGCGGCGGCCATTGGAGGGTGAACCAACAGCAAAAAAAGGAAGACCTTTCTGTCTCTCTCTCTCACTATCCACTCTGCCTGTCAAAAACAAACAAACAAACAAACAAACACTTTCTTACCAAAACAAAGATATCTACACTGACATACTATTTTTCACCCATTATATTAGCAAATATCATTAAGTTATTTTATTTAAAGTGTGAGGGAAATAAACAGGTATTCTCATGCACTTTTTTGTTTTCTTTTCTAGGAGGGGGAGGGGGTTGATGTGGTGATAATTTGTTGAAAGGCAAGGACAGGGGGAGGAGGAGTCATGCCTGCAACAGCTGAGGCTGTGCCAGGCTGAAGCAGGGAGCTGGGAACTCAATTCAGGTCTCCCACATGGGTGCTGGCAGTTACCCAACTATTTCAGCCATCACTTACTGCCTTCCAAGGTACACATTATCAGAAAGCTGGAACTCAAATCCCATCACAGAGGCATCTTAACCACTAGGCCAAATGCCACTCCATATTCTGTTGGTGTCAAATGGTATAGTATTTCAGAATTAGAAGTGCACAGTTCCTTTGGCTTAAAGTTTCACTTTTAACTGTTCACAAATAAATCATGATATGTGATCAATGTTATTTACTGCAGCATTGATTGTAATAATAGTAAAAAATTGGAAACAGCCTAAATATTCAAGTAGAGGACTAGTTAAATTGGTACATACATAAAATGGACTTCTACAAAGCCATGAAAACAAAAAGGAGCAAATAAAGGCAAGATATATGGAATATTGTATAAACACGCTGTGTCATACAGGAATTTATCTTGTATATGCAGAGAATACTTTTGGAAGAATATGTAAATTTCTGGGGGGGGTAACTGAAAATCAACAGGTTAGAGATTTGGAATGAAGAATTTTACTGTGCTCATACCTTTTTTACTTTTGAGTTTTTAATTATATGAATGTAATAATGATTCAAAGAAATAATTTGTAAAAACTAAGGCAGTCTTACATTAATGGCATAAAATTAATCATTTATGTGTTCAGTGATCAGTAACTGAAAGTATATTTGAGATATGTTCAGTTTACGTGGTACAGATATCTGTTCTTGTAATTCTTCATTTTATCAGATATTCAGATTTTGTTATTTAAAAGCTTGTGTGTGATTTCCTCTGAGCAGAGAGGGTCAATTCATTTTTAATTTTTCTATTGTATATTTCCCTAATTTTCTACAGTGAACACAAGTTCATTGCTTCTGTGTACTGCACAAGTCCAGCAAATTTATCCAGTCCAATGCCCTGATATTAACACATAGTATATTTATAATCAAGACATATTTATCTGTTTGAAAGACAGAGTTAGAGGGAAGGAGACAAAAAGGGAGATCTTCTGCTTCACTCTCCAAATGCCCACAATGGCAGGGGCTGGGTCAGGCCAAAGTCAAGAGCCTGGAACCCCATCTGGATCTCCCACAGGGGTGTCAGGGACATTTTCCCAGGCTCATTAGCAGGGAGCTGAGTCACATGGAAGCCGCTGGAACTCAAGGAGCATTCATATGGGATGCCAGTGTTGCAAGCAGGAGCTTAACTTGCTACACCACAACATTGGCCCCATGGAAGTAAAATTTTTTTTTAAAAAGCGCAGATTAATTTGTAGCATGTTAAATGTAATTAAAGTGTAGCTAAATTCTGCATTTTAAAAATTCTAGACTGTGAAGCTAGTTTTAAGAGTAAATATGACATATCTGTTTAATCATTTTATCACATTCTCATTACTGTTTTGATTTTTCTCCAAATCATTTCCAGATTGGATTTTTGCTTTCTGACCTTTGTGCTCCTCCCCATAGTGTATAATTTACTGTTGACATCCAGTAGTTTAACAAAAGATGCATAGTTCACAGCAGTTGATTTCTTTCCTAAGTAACTCTTAAAAATTAGGGATCCTCAAATACTTAAGAAAAGATACTAGTATGAATAATGATAATTCTAGATTAAGTACTGATTGATAATATGCAAAATACTTTGTTTCCAAGTGTTGTTATAAAGTGAAAAATTGGAGTCTTGGTAGTGATTTTGAGATTTGTTTAGTTGATGCACTGGTTGTTGCTCTTCATTGCTTTTAGGTAAATCTAACAAACCATTGTGGTTTTATGGGAGGACTACAGAAAAACAAAAGCACTGGATTGACCACTCCGTATTTTGCTACCTCTACAGTAGAAGTAATATTTCATGTATCAACAAGAATGCCTTCTGATTCTGATGACTCTTTGACCAAAAAAGTGAGTACTGATGGAAAAAAAGTACTTTAGAGTTAAAATGCTAGTAATTAAGGAAATTCATACATAAAATATATAATTTGGCTGACCAAATAATATTTCTGGGTATTATACTTTACTCTTCACCCAATGCTATTTTCAAAAAAAAGATTGTTGTATAATATACCTATGTTTGCCTAAAAGAACAATGATGTGATTGAAGGTTATAGTTCTTTTTTAATAATAAATTTTATTGTGCATGTTTGAAGTTTGTTATGATATTATGAAACACACAGAATTAAATAACTATACTGAAGCAAAGGAACATATATATCATCTCACATACTTTTTTGTGACTAAAACAGCTCAATCCCAAATACGATACAATGTTGTTAACTCTCTTCCCCGTGTTATACATTTTATCTGTAGACTTGTTCATCCAATGTATGTTATTTTGTATATATCATTTGAGCTAATATCTCCCAATTTTTTCTCTCCTACTTCCATCAGTTTCTGTGTTTTCTATCTCTATATTTGATCTGTTTGTGTATATGTGTGTGCTTTTTCCATAAAAGACTACATATAAGAGATAATACAATATCTTTCTTTATATGTTTGACTTATTTCGTTTTTAGCATGATGTCTTTCAGGTCCTCTCATGTCAAGGCACATGGCAGGATTTCTTTCTCTCTCCCTCTCTCTCCTCTCTCTCCTCTCTCTCTCCCCTCTCTCCCCTCTCTCCTCTTCCCTCCACTTCCCTCCACTCCTCTCTTCCCTTCCCCTCCTCTCCCCTCCTCTCTGTAATACTTTTTTTTTCTATCAGAGGCAGAAAGACAAAAAGACCTCCCATCTGCTGATTTGCCTCCCAAGTACCCACAACAGCCCTGGTGCCAGAGGCCAGGACCAGGAACGTAGTCTTGGTCTCATGTGAGTGGCAGGAACCCAATCACTTAAGCCATTATTGCTGCCTCCCAGGATCTGCACCAGCAGAAGGCTGGAGTCAGGAGCTGGAGGTGTGATTTAAATCCAGATACTGTGATGTGGGTTGTAGTTATCTTAACTGCTAAGCCAAATGCCCACTGCAGCGCTGAATAATATTCCACCTTGTATATGTTACGTATATCATTGTTTTCTTCATCCATTCACACTTTGACAGTTGCTCAGGTTGTTTTCATGTCTGGGCTATTGGGAATAACACTGCAGTGAACATAGGAGTAGGGATATCTACAAGGGAGTGATTTCATCTCTTTTGGGTATTTATTCAGAGGAGGGATTGCTATTTCATATAGTAGTTCTATTTTTAATTTCTTTATAATCTCCATACTGTTTTCCATGCTGGCTGTTCTGATCTACAGTCTCACCAAAATGTACACGATCTCCCTTCTCTACATACCCTCACCAGCATTTATGGTCTCATCTTGTTGATAGTAGCCGTCCTAACAGGTATAAGATAACACCTCATAGTAGCTTTAATTTGCATTTCCTTGAGCATTAATTATGTTGAGTGCCTTTCAATATTCCTGTTGTACATAGGTTTGTTTTGGAGAAATGTCTGTGCAGGTCCTTTGCCCCCCTTTTATTTTTAATCTGACTTTTTTTTCTGCTATTGAGTTATGAGTTCTTTATAAATTTTATATGTAAACTGCTTTTCAGATACGTGTTTTACAAATTTGTTTCCCAGTTTATAGATTGCCTTTTCATTTGGTTGACGATTTCCTTTGTTGTGCAGAAGCTTTTTAGTTTGTATGGTCCTGTTTATTTAATTTTGCTTTTATACCTTTTAAAATCGTGCACAGTTTTTGTATATCCTGTTCTGGTTTTGTCAGTCTTTTTATTTCTCCTTTCAGTTTTGCGAATTTCTGTTTAGATGACATCATATCAAGTGCAGAGATTGCTTCCATAGCTGTGTCTGGTTCTGATGACTATTGATGTTGAAAATCTTTTCATGTGCTTATTTTTGTAGCATTTTAGGAATTCTTTATATATTCTAGGTATTAATCCTTTATCAAACACTGACTTACCAATATTTTCTTCCATGTATGGATCATCTTTTCACTCAATTGATAATGCCCTTTGATGTACAATAGTCTTCATTTTAGTGGTATTCAATTAATTTTTTCTTTTGTTGCCTCTGCTTCTGGGATTAATCCAAAAATCATTACCAAATCCAGTGTCATAAAGATGTTTCCATACAATTTTTTCCCAAGAGTTTTGTAGTTCTAGCTCTGACATTTGGGTGCCAGATTCATTTCAATTAATTTTGGTATATAGTGTGTGAGTTACAGGTCCAGCTTTATTCTTTGCATATGATTATATGGTTTTTCCATCACCATTTATTCTATTCTGTTCTTTGGTTTAAATGTCTATCTTTATGCCAGTCCTGTAAGTTTGATTACTGTAACTTTGCAGTAAGTTTGTTTGTTTGTTTGTTTGTTTTTGACAGGCAGAGTGGACAGAGAGAGAGAGAGACAGAGAAAGGTCTTCCTTTGCCGTTGGTTCACCCTCCAATGGCCACCGTGGCTGGCGCGCCGCACTGATCCAATGGCAGGAGCCAGGTACTTATCCTGGTCTCCCATGGGGTACAGGGCCCAGGCACTTGGGCCATCCTCCACTGCACTCCCTGGCCACAGCAGAGAGCTGGCCTGGAAGAGGGGCAACCGGGACAGAATCCGGCGCCCCGACCGGGACTAGAACCCAGTGTGCCGGCGCCGCAAGGCGGAGGATTAGCCTAGTGAGCCGCGGCGCCGGCCTGCAGTAAGTTTTGAAATTAGAAAGTGTGAGTCCTCCAACTTTGTTATTTTTCAAGATTGTTTGAGTTCTCAAGATCCCCTCAGGTTCCATACACATTTTTTTTTAAAGATTTATTTATTTGAAAGACAACGTTACAGAGAGAGGTAGAGACAGAAAGAGAGAGGTCTTCCATCTGCTGATTCCTCCCCAGAAGGCCACAACGGCTGGAGCTGCACCTATCCAAAGCCAGGAGCCAGGAGCTTCTTCTGGGTCTCCAATTCAAGTGCTGGGGCCCAAGCACTTGGGCCGTCCTCCACTGCCCTCCCAGGCCATAGCAGAGAGCTGTATCGGAAGTGGAGCAACCAGGACTAGAACCGGCGCCCATATAGGATGCCAGCACTTCAGGCCAGGGCTTTAATCTGCTGCGTCACAGCGCTGGCCCCTCCATACACATTTAAAGATGGGTTTTCTGTTTCTGCAGAGGACACTGTTGTTATTATGATACTGCATTGATCACTTTAGATAGTGTTGTCATCTGAAAAAAAAATTATCTTCTAATCCATGAACATAGAATGTCTATTTATGCCATCTTTATTTCAACATTGTTTTACAGTTTTCAGTATACAACTCTTTTGCCTCGTTAAATTTATCCCTGTTTTATTCTTTTTCATGCTATTGTAAATGAATTTGTTTTGATAATTTCTATTTCAGATTGTTCATTGTTAGTGTACAGAAACGCAGATGATTTTTATTCGCTAGCCTACAACTTTTATTTGTAGCCTGCAACTTTGCTTAATGCATGTAATGGGTCTAATAGATTTTTTTGGAATCTTAGCATTTTCTACATATAAGACCATAGTGTGTGGGTTTTTTTTTAATGTTTCTGTGCATATTTTAATGTTTCTGTGGAGGAACAAGAGCTTGGAGCTCCTGTGCCATCTTGCTGACATCAGACCACAGAAACAGTTTTAGTTTTAATTCTATATTTAAAATTAGTTGGCAACTTACATGTTTTTTTTTTAATATTTATTTATTTATTTATTTGAAAGAGTTACACAAAGAGAGAAGGAAAGGCAGAGAAAGAGAGAGAGAAGTCTGCCATCTGCTGGTTCACACCCAGTTGGCTACAATGGCTGGAGCTGATCCGAAGCCAGGAGCCAGGAACTTTTTCCAGGTCTCCCACGTGGGTACAGGGTCCCAAGGACTTGGGCATAGCAGAGAGCTAGATTGAAAGTGGAGCAGCCAGGACTCAAACTGGCACCCATATGGGATTCTGGCACTGCAAGTGGCAGCTTAACACACTATGCCACAGTGCTGGCCCCATTTATGTGCTTAAAAAAGGAATTAGTATTTTGCTCAGTTATCCAGTGAAGAGAAAGAACTGAGACAGTCACATGACATGACATTTCAGACATTTAAGGGCCCAGAAACAAAACTTTTAAAAGTGCAAACATGTTCATAAATGTGTAAATCTTTTAATGCAGCCATGTACACTTTTCTTTAGTTGTTAAAGTAACTATACCTGTTTTATTATTGAAGAAAATTACCTAGACTGGATAAATGTTTTTTACCTACATAAAGCATTTTTAAAAATTATTTTTAAATTTATTTTTTAAAGAATACAACTTAAGTAAAGTTTTCAACAGGTTTCTCTCCCTCCCTCCCTCCCTCCCTCTCTCTCTCTCTCTCTCTCTCTCTGACACACACACACACACACACACACACTGAGAACTGGTTTTACAGTTAATTCTCAATACAACTTTATTGAGGACAGAAGTCCTGCATGGGGAGTTAGTGCACAGTGACTCTTGTTGTTCACTTAACAGTTAACATTCTTACATAGGACATCAGTGACCACCTGAGACTCTTGAAATGAGCTGCGTTGGCTATGGAAGCCTTTTGAGTCCACAAACTCTGTCAGTATTTGGACAAGGCCATAAGCAAAGTGGAAGTTCTCTCCTCCTTTTAAAGAAAAGTACATCCTTCTTTGATGGCTGCTTCTTTCCATAGGGATCTCACAGAGATCCTTCATGTAGAATATTTTTTTGACAGTGTCCTGGTTTTCCATGCCTGAAATGCTCTCATGGGTCTTTCAGCCAGACCAGGAAGCCTTAAAGGCTAATTCTGAGTTCAGAGTGTTACTTAAAGTGATTGTCATTCTGTGAGTCTGCTATGTAGAATGTTTCCCATATTGGGCATTCATTCCTTTTTAATTCTATTATTATTGCTGGGCACTTGATCCTATCTACTACGTAAAGCATTTTAAAAAGATTTTTGTTTTTATGAAAAACATT